TATGATCCTTGTGAGTTTAGTGGTTAGTTATGATTACAATTCCAAACACCAGTGAACAAGATTATCTCGGTAAAACCATCGAATCTTGATGCCTGCCTGAATGATCACGTGTTAAGAACTGACCCATGTTGGCTAAGGAATTACTGTACTTCCTCCACCTACAAAGTGGGATGCACATCATCAGTTCCATAACCAGACTGTCCACCAACACTCCACCCCCGCTTCATGCAGAGGAACTGTCACACCTTCCATGGTGGCATAGCAAGATTTGGCAGACGGTTTTGGACAAAGAAAAAAGAAGAAGAATTGCAATACCCCAATGACTAATCAACACTTGTCTGCCCTGCTTGTGGAATAAGCAAATACCAGGCTGATTTTTGAGGGCCTTTTACACTTCCAGAAAAAACCAGATCAATTCTTGGCGGGTGGGGGAATTTGAATCAACCAACAGTCCCCACAAATGGGGGTTCGGCCACTAAAAAATATTGCAAGTAAATAGGAAAAAATGCCCCATTTATAGAGAACAGAGAAAAATTTGGGTGCCCAATCCTCTTCCTGCAGTAAATTACAAAGCACATCCTTTATGTTCTCACTTTTAACCATTTTTCTTCAGGAAAGGGGAAGGGGAAAGAAAAGGTTTGCTTATAACCAGAAAAAATATGAAAAATTTTAAACCTAAAAGGGAATAATTTTTGGGATCTACCATAGTTCCCCTTTAGCTCTCATCCAGTATCCAACCCTTAATACATTCTTAGTTCCACCTTTAAAACTGTGTCACCTTCACAGCCCCAAAAGTACGGGACCTCTTCACTTCCCTTTAAAATTTTTGGGAACTGACCTTTAAGACCTTCAAAACCCCTGTTACCTCTATGCACAAGTCATTTCCTCCCTTTACAGGACCCTTTACATCACCCAAGTGGCACTTCAAATCCCCTCTTTCCTTAGACAGGTGTAATTTTTATCTGTCTAAACAACCTTGCAAGTCCCAAACATTACATTCCCTTCGGGATCCTTTTCCCCCCGGGGGGGGACATTTGTAACCTAGCAGCATATTTCTAAAAAAACAGACCCAAAGAAAATTGGACCCCCAAAAAAGCATTTCCCAAGGGAACTCTTGGAGCCCTTTTCACCTAAACTGAAACACACGGGCTCTCAGCTTCATGATGCCCCCTTTCCCCATACGGGTTTAAATTTTTTACCCCCTTTAACCTAGCAATTAAAAAACTTCTTTAAGTGAAAACCCCCCACCACACAAAATTCCTCATTACTGCTTTTGCCCTACCCCTTCGAAGCAATTAAAAAAACCCACCCCAAAACCCCCTAACCCCCCTTTCCCCTTCTACTGCTGTTTTTCCCAAATGGCTAAAAAATTACTGAAACCTAATTTTTACACCACTAACCCCCTTTTCCCGTACTATTTTGACCACCTTTGGGGGCCCCTGTAGGGACCCATAAAAGGTCTGGTGCTTTTTTTTAAAACATAATTTTATATGGTAAAAGTTTTAAAAAATTTTTTTGGATCACATTTCAAATTTTAAAAACAGGTAGGAAACCTCCAGGTAAAGGGGCCCAGCCAAAATAAATGATATATTTTTTTTTTAAAAGCAATATTTTTAAACTTTTTTTTAAAACAAGACTTTGGGGACGGGGGAGGCAATCAGGTTCAACCCAAAAGGAATGGTAGTTTAGCCCCCAGTTTTTTGGGATCAAAAACCCCCCTTAAAATTGGCAAAAAGGCACCTCCTTGGGGGGGTTTCCCCCATGATTTTAAAATTTAAAATTTGGTTGCATGAGAGTCCCCATTTGACATGGGGAGTTTCAAGTGGGGAAAAACACTGGTGACAAAAACTTTTAAAATTTTAAATTATTATAATAAAAAAAAGAAGCGCTAAGCCACAAGGGTATACAGCAAAAACACTATTAAAATTTAATAAATTTTTTTAAGGGCCTTGAATTGTATAATTTTCCCAGATTTTTGTATTAACATTAGCCCACGTATTTGAAAAACCGAAATTTGGTGCTACTTTCAGTATACGTTTATTATACTTGGGTGTATGTTTATATCTGAGAAAAAAATTTTTTTTCATGTTTTATTTGTATGTACTTTGGGAAAATGTGCATAGGGGGTTTTTATTATGAGAAATGCATTTGGTTTTGTGGTGTGTGTGTGTGTGTGTGGGGTGTTGTGTTGTGTGTGGAGGTGTTGTGTGTGTGTGTGTGTGTTTTGTGTGTGGTGGTGTGAAACTTTATACATATGTCGTGCCGAATAGGTAAAATTGGTCAATTTAAAGAAAAATTTTTTTTTTCCCTTATTTTTTTACTGAAAAAATTAAAAATTTTTGGGTCCCAAAAAAACCTTAGAAAAGTTCCCTAACCTTATTATAAAAAGCGCAATTTTAAATTTGCCCAATCCAACTAAATATATTTTTAGACAAGTTTACCAAAATTTTTTAATGAACCAAAAAACAATGAAATATTTTTTTCGTTTGGTTCGAAATGATTTTTTCGAAATTATTGCTTTCACAAATTTTTTGCTTGCCGTAATTTGGCAAAAAGCGTTGCAAATTTTAAACCAAAATCGCAAATTTTACCTATTCGGCACGACAACGCGCAAAGCACACACGCGGGACACATGCACACAAAGCGCACAAAACCTGCGGGACACAAAAACGCGCAAACACACGCGCAAAACACACGCGCACAAAACACGCGCACACACACCCCCCACAAAACACGCCCCCACGCCGCCCCACACGCGCGCGCACAAAAGCGCGCACACACGCGCGCACACACGCGCGGGACACCGCGCGACCACGCGGCAAAACACGCGGGGCCCCCAAAACGGCCCCGCCACAAACGCGCGCACCAGCGCGCGCCACACGCGCGCGCACACACCCCGCGCGCACACCGCGCGCCACAACGCGTGCACCCCACGCGTGCACACACGCGCACCCACGTGCACACACACGCGCACACACACGCACACACACACGCACACACCACAACGCACACACACGCACACACACGCACACACACACACGCACACACACGCACACACACGCACACACACGCACACACGCACACACACACGCACACACACGCACACACACGCACACACACACGCACCACACACGCACACACACACGCACACACACACGCACACACACGCACACACACGCACACACACACGCACACACACACGCACACACACACGCACACACACACGCACACACACACGCACACACACGCACACACACACACGCACACACACACGCACACACACACGCACACACACACGCACACACACACGCACACACGCACACACGCACACACACACGCACACACGCACACACACACGCACACACACACGCACACACAACGCACACACACACGCACACACACACGCACACACACACGCAACACACACGCACACACACACGCACACACCACACGCACACACACACGCACACACACACGCACACACCACACGCACACACACACGCACACACACACGCAACACACACACGCACACACACACGCACACACACACGCACACACACACGCACACACACACGCACACACACACACGCACACACACACGCACACACACACGCACACACACAAATGACCGTGAAGTATGTGAAGAACTCAACAAGAGATTCAAAGAAGTGTTCACAGAGGAGACAGAAGGGGCTCCAGAAAGACGGAGAGGTGGGGCACACCACCATGTGCTGGACACAGTGCACACAACCGAGGAAGAAGTGAAGAGGCTTCTGAGTGAGCTAGATACCTCAAAGGCAATGGGGCCAGATAACATCTCCCCATGGGTATTGAGAGAGGGAGCAGAGGCACTATGTGTACCCCTAACAACAATATTCAATACATCTATCGAAACAGGGAGATTGCCTGAGGCATGGAAGACAGCAAATGTAGTCCCAATCTTTAAAAAAGGAGACAGACATGAAGCATTAAACTACAGACCAGTGTCACTGACATGTATAGTATGCAAAATCATGGAGAAGATTATCAGGAGAAGAGTGGTGGAACACCTAGAAAGGAACGATCTCATCAACAGCAGCCAACATGGTTTCAGGGACTGGAAATCCTGTGTCACAAACCTACTGGAGTTCTATGACATGGTGACAGCAGTAAGACAAGAGAGAGAGGGGTGGGTGGATTGCATTTTCTTGGACTGCAAGAAGGCGTTTGACACAGTTCCACACAAGAGATTGGTGCAAAAACTGGAGGACCAAGCAGAGATAACAGGGAAGGCACTACAATGGATCAGGGAATACTTGTCAGGAAGACAGCAGCGAGTCATGGTACGTGGCGAGGTGTCAGAGTGGGCACCTGTGACCAGCGGGTCCCGCAGGGGTCAGTCCTAGGACCATGCTGTTTCTGGTATTTGTGAACGACATGACGGAAGGAATAGACTCTGAGGTGTCCCTGTTTGCAGATGACGTGAAGTTGATGAGAAGAATTCACTCGATCGAAGACCAGGCAGAACTACAAAGGGATCTGGACAGGCTGCAGACCTGGTCCAGCAATTGGCTCCTGGAGTTCAATCCCACCAAGTGCAAAGTCATGAAGATTGGGGAAGGGCAAAGAAGGCCGCAGACGGAGTACAGTCTAGGGGTCAGAGACTACAAACCTCACTCAAGGAAAAAAGATCTTGAGGGTGAGTATAACACCAGGCACATCTCCTGAAGCGCACATCAACCAAATAACTGCTGCAGCATATGGCGCCTAGCAAACCTCAGAACAGCATTCCGACATCTATAATAAGGAATCATTCAGGACCCTGTACACCGTGTACGTTAGGCCCATATTGGAGTATGCGGCACCAGTTTGGAACCCACACCTAGCCAAGCACGTGAAGAAACTAGAGAAAGTGCAAAGGTTTGCAACAAGACTAGTCCCAGAGCTAAGAGGTATGTCCTACGAGGAGAGGTTAAGGGAAATCAACCTGACGACACTGGAGGACAGAGAGATAGGGGGGACATGATAACGACATACAAAATACCGAGAGGAATTGACAAGGTGGACAAAGACAGGATGTTCCAGAGATTGGACACAGTAACAAGGGGACACAGTTGGAAGCTGAAGACACAGATGAATCACAGGGATGTTAGGAAGTATTTCTTCAGCCACAGAGTAGTCAGTAAGTGGAATAGTTTGGGAAGCGATGTAGTGGAGGCAGGATCCATACATAGCTTTAAGCAGAGGTATGATAAAGCTCACGGCTCAGGGAGAGTGACCTAGTAGCGATCAGTGAAGAGGCGGGGCCAGGAGCTCGGACTCGACCCCCGCAACCCCAACTAGGTGAGTACACACGCGCACACACACGCGCACACACACGCGCACACACACGCGCGCGCACACACGCGCACACGCGCACACGCGCACACACAACGGAAGGGATAGATTCAGAAGTGTCCTTGTTTGCAGATGATGCGAAGTTAATGAGAAGAATCAAATCGGATGAGGATCAGGCAGGACTACAAAGAGACCTGGACAGGCTACAAGCCTGGTCCAGCAACTGGCTCCTTGAATTTAACCCTGCCAAATGCAAAGTCATGAAGATTGGGGAAGGGCAAAGAAGACCGCAGACACAATATAGTTTAGATGGCCAAAGACTGCAAGCCTCACTCAAGGAAAAAGATCTGGGAGTGAGTATAACACCGAGCATATCTCCTGAGGCGCACATCAATCAGATAACTGCTGCAGCATACGGGCGCCTGGCAAACCTACGGATAGCGTTCCGATACCTCAGTAAGGATTCGTTCAAGACTCTGTATACCATTTACGTCAGCCCCATACTGGAGTATGCAGCACCAGTTTGGAATCCACACCTAGTCAAGCACGTCAAGAAATTAGAGAAAGTGCAAAGGTTTGCAACAAGACTAGTCCCAGAGCTACGGGGATTGTCCTACGAAGAAAGGTTGAGGGAAATCGGCCTGACGACACTGGAGGTCAGGAGGGTCAGGGGAGACATGATAACGACATATAAAATACTGCGCGGAATAGACAAGGTGGACAAAGACGGATGTTCCAGAGATGGGACACAGACACAAGAGGTCACAATTGGAAGTTGAAGACTCAGATGAATCAAAGGGATGTTAGGAAGTATTTCTTCAGTCATATAGTAGTCAAGCCGTGGAATAGCCTAGAAAGTGACGTAGTGGAGGCAGGAACCATACATAGTTTTAAGGCGAGGTATGATAGAGCTCATGGGGCAGGGAGAGGACCTAGTAGTAATCAGCGAAGAGGCGGGGCCAGGAGCTGTGAATCGACCCCTGCAACCACAAATAGGTGAGTACACACGCGCACACACGCGCACACACGCGCACACACGCGCGCACACACGCGCGCGCACACACGCGCACACACACGCGCACACACACACGCGCACACACACGCGCACACACACGCGCACACACACGCGCACACACACGCGCACACACACGCGCACACACGCGCACACACACGCGCACACACACGCGCACACACACGCGCACACACACGCGCACTTAGCGCTTCACATAATTATCATTTCATAACACCTCTTCAATCGTGTTCACCGAGGACCTTGATGGAGGGCCTTGGTCGGAGTGTCGGATGGAAGGTTTAGTGGGATGGTCTAAGTCACTAAGAGACATGTTTCTGAGGGGGATGTTTGAATGGATGGGAGCTTCTCGAGGGTCTTTACTGTTGGTTTCCGCTGATCCCTCAGGCGGGGAGATGATTAACTGAGGTGGTCCTCCTGGGTATTGCGAAGGGCAAGATGTGGCAGGGGAAACAGTGGACTTCTTGCGCTGAGAGAAACAAGACTGCGAGAAGGCACTTAGAACTCGATGTCGCCCTGCCATGAGATAAGTCTTCAGTTCGCTGCGGAAAGTTTCATTGAAGGAGAAGAACAAGAAATGGGTGAGGTGTTCTCCTATCAGGAGGAGGTTTGCAACAGCACGGAACACCTCCTCGGAATAAGGGCCGGTGCAGTTGACGATGTTCTCAGCATAGAAGGTAGCGTGGACGGTGATAGGAACAGTGCAGAGGACGAAGGTGGCAGAGATGGCAAGAGATATGTAGATGCTGGAGTAGGCCTGTCCTCGAGTCCTGGTGGTGGCAGCAGTATTGTGAAGACGGCGGTGAACCAGTCCTACCACGATGCCGACGTTAAACACCAATACCAGGATAATTGGCACCACCAACACCACCAAACCACGTAGCACCCACCACAAATGTGTCCACACGTTCTTCCTGCTCAAGCTGTGGAGGTCATCTTTGATGATCCATACTCCGCCCTCACACCATTCATCCGGCTCCTTAACTGTTTCCGAGGACTTTACACACATAAATTGTACATCAAACAAGTGCTTCATATGCATCAAAATACACAGGCTCATTGTTAGTAAAACTCTACTGCGCAACACTCGGCGACCTTGAACTTCATGGAACCTCTTGAAAAACCACAATGCGAGGAACCTATCATAAGAGATCCAGAGAATGACGTAGAGAGTAAAAGTCTGAATTATGTAAAAGAAAGTGAAGAAAATGTGGGCGAAGTAGACAGCTACGGAATATGAGAAGAGGCGGCAGCCGTTAACGGTGATGGCCGTGGGGATGCTAATCACTAAGATGAGAAGATCACAGGATATCAGCATCAAATAGTATCTGTAAGGAGAGGACAGAGGATGTCAGTGGTGCAGGTTAAACCGGGGTGTATATCACATGTTGACTCAGCATTCTCTCTTACATTAATCCTAGAGCAGAGCACTAGGCTTTCCACAGACATTATAACAAATACATTTCATAAATATATCATGTGGTAGGCTACACTAGTGCCAATATTCACTTTTTTTGCTACTATCGCATCACTAGAGCTTGCACCACCAAGACTTGTGTCAGAGGTTTTTCGCTGACAAACTAACAATAATAGAGCATTGGTCATTGTATAACAAAGACACGAGTGGGTGATTTTCCTCTTAACGAATTCTATCAAATGAATCATGGTTTTCAGAATAGGGTCTCAGTATGAGCCTGAAATATACCGTATTCATCTTGCATTTTAGTATTTCCACTCTTAACATAAATAAATCAGTATTCAACTTACGAATTTGCAGGTCTGCTCCTGAGCTTGCGTCTAGTGAGAAGAAAGATACCAAATATGTTGACAACCAGGCCCAGCACTATCATTATGGGCAGAAGTACCTCATAAGAAACTCTTTGTATCAAGGTCACGTCATCCGAGACAATCCCTATTCGCAGGGAGGAGTAATCCAGAGCTCCAGTGATGTTTCCCAGGTCTATTGATCCACTGACGACCCTGGTGAAATCTGGGAAGTCTGTAATATTCCTGTTGACCTCCAGAACGCCCTCATTCATGTCCCCTTTAGGAACACCGGTAACGTTTCTCGGGTGTGTTGGTGTACTGTCCTCTCCACCGGAGTTTGACACACTGCCGAGGGTCTTCTTGAAGTTCAGGACTCCGTGGAAACCAAGAGTCTCGTTCATGTCCCTGCTGTAGCCTAGGGCTTTACTATTGTCTCTCCAGCACACTTAGTGAAGCTCACCACGATTCTTAGATTCTGAGCAATAATGAAATTTAGAGTTTTCTCTTATGTCCTGCTGTAACAGTCACCAAGGCATCATTAGTTTTCCCTGTCCTTCCGTTTTAATGTTTAAATATTCTACCTTCGCCATCACTCGTCACAGAGCTTCACTGACATCCCCGTTTGCAGAGCTCTTGATACCTCAGACTGGAGCTTTGTTGGCAACTCCGTATACAAGCTCTTCACCCCCACAGGGCTCTTGCTACATTTCTGAGGCTCCTCGATGCTTCTGCTCTCCTAGTAAAGGGCAGTAAGGAAAATACAGTACATCAGTAAAGTGCACCAGAGGCCCCTGCAAGTAACCATATTAAACCTAGTTTTATAAGCAGTGATCTCGAGAAAAAAGTTTGCTAAAAAACTTTTATAATTGTATAAGCTATATACTAATTCAAATTCAAAATTATGAGAGAGAGAGCGGAAGCGCAAAATACAGGATTTAGGAGTTAGGAAGGTCACAATCTTGTATATTTAAGTACAGGTACACAAATCATACATAAGTAACATATGTATAAATTACCCAAAACACTCTTGCTTCCCCTCCCTCCTGCCACAGGATAGTGGGGAAGGGTATGATCAAGGAGGGGGGGGGGAGAGGGAGTCATGTTAAGCACACTTGTACTGGCTATTCTCAATTAGCTGATAATCCCCATTCTACCCTCCTTCTCTCCCCCCTCTCTCGCTCTCTCTCTAATTTTACATGTCTAAGCCGGGACGAAATGGCGTCAAACGGAGTTTCGCTCCGGCCTGCACCATTAAGTTCCACAGAGAAGAGCGAAGAGAAGAAAGCTAGATCGAATATATACTAGAGGGGCAGGGAACGGGAGTGGTAGAACTGGAAGGAGTAATAATGCTGCTGATGATGGTGATGGTAATGATGCTGCTGATGATGAAGCAGCAGCAACAGAGGTGGCAATAAGGTAATATATATATAATATATATATAATATAAAAATATATATATATAATATATATATATATATATATATAATATATATATAATATTTTATATAATATGCAATAAGATCACAGTAAACAGGCGATTTCAGAATATGCAAAACAACCACTTTGAAAGAATAGAGAAATTCCAAGCGCTTTCGTGACTACTCACATTATCAAGGAACTATGAAAGTAAAGCATCCAAGCTTCCTTGGATGCTTTACTTTCATAGTTGCTTGATAATGTGAGTAGTCACGAAAGCGCTTGGAATTTCTCTATTCTTTCAGAGTGGTTGTTTTGCATATATATAATTATTGCATACACAAATTTTCATTGGCCTTATTCGGCAAGAACGTTGCTACTTAAGCCAAAATAGCAAGTTTTACCTATTCGGCACGACATATATATATATATTTTTTTCAACAAGTCGGCCGTCTCCCACCGAGGCAGGGTGACCCAAAAAAAAAAGAAAGAAAATCCCCAAAAAGAAAATACTTTCATCATCTTTCAACACTTTCACCACACTCACACATAATCACTGTTTTTGCAGAGGTGCTCAGAACACAACAGTTTAGAAGCATATACGTATAAAGATACACAACATATCCCTCCAAACTGCCAATATCCCAAACCCCTCCTTTAAAGTGCAGGCATTGTATTTCCCATTTCCAAGACTCAAGTCCGACTATATGAAAATAACCGGTTTCCCTGAATCCCTTCACTAAATATTACCCTGCTCACACTCCAACAGATCGTCAGGTCCCAAGTACCATTCGTCTCCATTCACTCCTATCTAACACGCTCACGCACGCTTGCTGGAAGTCCAAGCCCGTTGCCCACAAAACCTCCTTTATCCCCTCTCTCCAACCCTTTCGAGGACGACCCCTACCCCGCCTTCCTTCCCCTATAGATTTATATGCTTTCCATGTCAATTTTACTTTGATCCATTCTCTCTAAATGACCAAACCACCTCAACAACCCCTCTTCTGCCCTCTAATACTATTTATTAACTCCACAACCTTT